TTTAATAGCCCCATTCAGACTGGTACCCAGCCCATGCTCGACATCAACAGCCTCTGCTCCGGCTGCTCTTCCATATTCTAAATTATGTCAATTCCTGTAAGCATACCGCCGAGCATTTAGCGCAATATTGTATATTGCTGGTCTGTGAGGAGGTCTCCGCTTTATCAGATGCGCGCTCTCCTTTTCTTGATAGAAAGTCAACTTTAAGTAAATCAATTTAAAGGATTTCGGGCACTAGCATTCAATACTATTTATAGTCTAACTGCGAGCAAATATAGTAGAGCTATTTCCTAGTCGGGCTCATCTGGTTGAAGCATTCCGATTTCATGGAAATTGTGCGGATATTTGAGATTCTCGGACTCTCAGCACAAAATATGCAAATGTGTATGTGTGTGTGTGTGTTTTTTTTTTTTTGTCATACTGGCGCAAAACTGAATCTACCTGGCCGCAACCAGAAATCACTCAGCCACAGCCAGCAAATTTGCCATTTTTTTTATATGTCCCTCAAGCAGGATGTTCGCCTGTGAACTGGGTCCGGGAGGCCATAGACTTGCATAGGAACAGGCACGAAGGTTGGCAATGCCAACGAATAACTGAAATAGACTGAAAACGCCTTTGGCAGCGCATAGCGGGCTGGAATGGAGCACACGCACCGTGGTGCCCCCAGTACATACATACACATATAAGCATATGAAAATCATTCGCCTGAAATTTGCATACAAATGCCATACATATGCCGCCACATCATTGTGTTAGTTAGCTAGTGTGAGTGTGTGAATTTGTGAGTGTGCGCTAGTGTGTGCGTGTGTGCATTTCAGTTGCAATTTCCGGATGCTATAACCGGAAGTGAAGCTGCTCAAAAATTCGTGCAGCCGTAAAAGAAGCAAAGTGCGCCAATAAGCAAATGCTCCAGCGGAAACACTAGCCAATATTGAGCCCAGAATTCGTAGCGCTATTCGGTCACAATTCCTCGCATGTTCTATTGCCTATTGCGAGCTCCCACAGTCAGTGCTTGTCGCCTTCCACTTGGCTCCATTTGCATACGCAACATTTCGCATTTGCTACTGCTATAAATATTACACATGTCGGTATGTCGATGCGGACAGACGTAAGTATATGCTACATTTGTGCGCTTACATACATCTATATTTATTTATTTATGCATATATGTATGTGACTCTGACTCTGACTCTGGCGAAATGGACGCATTATCGCCTCGCTGGGGGGCTGAAACTGTTAGCGGTCTGTGCTGTCATCTCGTAAATCATAATTTTTATTTCCATATTGATTTATTGCATATTTTAATAGTTGGGAAATGATTGTCGATAAATTTGTGTATATTATCATGCCATATAAATTCTGTAAATTCAATTACTTTTTCTAAGATCTGAATTTACAAAACTTTTTAGTTATGCCAATACTTTTTGGGGCAAAGCTATTTTAAGTTGAACAACAATTTCACTTATTCGTACATAAAATACATGTACATTATATTTGTATGTGTGTTGCCATTTTTCGCATAATTTTTGTATTATTTTTTATTTTTCAATATGAAGGCAATCAAGCAAGGCTTTAAAAACTTTTTATGAACAATTTATATCATTTGCATACAACGATAAAATTGATTTTTTACAGTGGCACAGTTATTGTAAATATATGCGCTGGCCACAATAAATTCTGAATCGAAATCCAGCTGTGCTTGAATTTATTTTTTAAGACCATCAACTGCAGCGAGGTAAATATTTTAATACTGTTGACTATGCAAACAAATAATGGCGTAAAAAAAAAAATGGGTGAACTATGTCTTCACTAAAGTTTCCCTTAGCACAGGTAGTCAAGCATCAAGCGCTTGTGCCGCTTGACAAGTCAAATACTAAATTTCACTTTTCAGATAATTAAAAGGGGAAAGTCTCCCATCTCAATATGCAACACGCTCTCTTAATTAAATTTTTGTATTTATTTTTTTTATTTTTTTTTTAGTGGATGCAACGAAATATGCGTCTGACCCATTCTGGCTGCTAGCTCTGGCATCTTTGCCTGCTGCCTCAGACTGTGCAAGCCATGGCAAATTCTTCGAGTTGAATCTTTTATGAAGCTGCAAGCAAATTGTATTGGCATAATGAACAATTAAAGTGCTGCTCGTGATTTGAGTCTGTGGCTGTGCATTAAGTGCGCATTGTCTGTCTGTTTTCTGGCGCTTTTCAATTTATAGCAAATTGCAAAGTTTCGCACTGCGGCCCGGCTACCTCGGAGCCAAAAAATCGCTGTAGGCCAGCAAACAATTTGCGGCTGTAAACTTCAATTGCGCGTTAAATTTTCCATGTCGACATTTTGTGGCCGCCCTCTTTCACAGTGCACAGAGTGCTCCTGCTCCAGCTCCCGCTCCTGCTGCTGCTGCTGCTCTGTCGCCCCTCGCGTGGCCCATCTCTTATTAATGGCATTAATTAAAAATTTAATTTGTAACAAACCCGTTTGGTTGTTAAATTCGCGCTCTGATTTTCCCAGCACTGATTTCAGTCTCGCTCTCGGCTGTCGCGCTAACAAATTTTTGCGACATAAATCAACCGTTTGAGTTAGCCCCACAGCTTACTGCCTGCGCTCCCTAGATGTGCCACAAAACATTTATCATAATCATTATTCTATTTACGGGTGACCTTCAAGCAATGGCTAGCAAAACACAAACCCCCAAAAAAGCAAAAGAAAACAACTATAGAGTTTCTATGTTAAAGAAATACATATATATTGAACGACTGATATATACTGAAAATAATTATAATATTATA